CATTCATCATTGGGTTGGTCTTAGAGTCATAAATTCTTCAGCCAAATCAACTTTTGAAGGCCATGATTAGAAAAATAGAGAGGTTGGGATATAATTTGCATCTGTGAAAGATCCACAGAAATCAGATCTTTAAAAATAGTAGAACATATCTACCTAAACACATATCACATAGCTATTTCATATTACCTATCATTCCTCCCCCTCCTCGACTCCCCAGTCTATAGACTCTGGCATAATTCTGATACTTGAAGAATAATTATCTGTGTGTTCCTTTCGGGGAGAAACAAAGGAAGCAGTGGCATTTAGGTCATGAGCAAAGAAAGGAGTCACTGGCATAAGAAATTAATTGTGGCATTGGAAACAGACTAACAGTGGGATATAAACCCTTGGGGATGGGCTCGGCAGAGAGCATGGAAGGCATTGGCTATGAAATTATGAGCAGGGGAAGAATCCTAGCGTTCAGCTGGATGAAGCTCTCAATCCTTCAGCACAGTGCTTAGCAGCCGTAAAAAAAATAAGCAAACAAAAGTCTACAAATCCTTTCCAGAGGTAATGAAAAGAAACTAGAGCACACTATTCTAGCCTAGATAAATGCTGCAGTGTCTGGAAGTGGGACCAAAGATCCTGGCAAAGAGGGCAATTCAGTAATAGGGAAAGTGTAGGAAAGGTGATCAGATACAATATAGGGAGTCTGCCTTCAAGCACCATAAAATGATCATAGAAACAAAACCCAGGGTATTAGAAAGTGAATATCAACAGAGCAAGAAAGCCTCACCGGATCAGTAGAGCCTGAAGGGAACTCAGAGCTAAGGCAGAGTTTGTATTCTAGTCCTTTTCAGAGAGAACAGATTTAAATTCAGACTGAGCTCAATGGAGAAGCAAGAAGAGGAATCGCAGAAGCATCTTGACCCAGCGGTAAGAACAAGGAGCAAAACGTCTCCTACCAAAGCCTGGCCACACAATGAAATTTATTAAAAGCCATTTTCTTCCTAACCAGCCAACCAATGTCGACCAGGCACTAACATTCTTTCTGACTTATTTCATTAACATTTCCTTCTGTTCCTGGAGCAGTCAGAGCTCTGGGGAGTCTCTCCCCACTTCTCTCTCCCCCTACCCCAAAGTGGGCATTGACTAGGAGCCAGGGTGTTGTCTGCAGAAAGAGAAATTGCAAAACCACAAATCGCAGAAAATCATCACTGCCAAAAAAACGAAAGGAACACACAATATCACGGTACCTCTTAAAAAGCAATTGCTCGTTTTACAACCCTCGGGATAATTCAGGTTTGCTTGGCAACGCTCTCACCCATACCACCCAGAAGACAACTCTCTTCCACCAGAAGCAGTGGTCCTGATGAATATATTTAGTTGAAAAGAAACAAGACACTTGGATGAAAACATTTCTCGGGGCCTGGTTGGGGATTGCAGGATTTTTGTCTTTGTCTGTTGTACTGAATTAATTTTGCAGCCCCTAGAGTCATGGAGTCTAGCCTCAGAGTGCAAGTTACTGTCACTGAACAGAAGGAGTGTCTCCACCAGCAGTAGCTAGTATATGGGTGGAGATCATTTTTCATGGTTACAGATGGATTCCATTCAAGTGGAGTGGGGTCATATGTGTAGCATACATCTCCCAGTCCATTAATGTAGTTTCTTATGCCCTCTGCTATAGATCATAAACTGTTGGAGTAGAACGGAGCTTTCAGAACTTCTACTCCACCCCCCAAATTTTACAGAGGAGGAAACTGAGGCCAAAAGAAGTTAAATGACTTGACTACAACTACGTAAGGAGAAAGCAGCAGAACTGGGATTCAAACCCAGATCCTGACTTGAAATACATTGCCCTTTCCATTAGACTACTCTGCCTCTCAGGCAGCTAGGTGGTGCAGTGACTAGAATGTCTGACCTGGAGTCAGAAAGACTCATTTTCCTGAGTTCCAATCCAGCATCAGATACTTTTCCTAGCTGTGTGTCCCTGGGCAAGTCATTTAACCCTGCTTGCCTCAGTTTCCTCATTTGTAAAATGAATCAGATAAGGAAATAGCACACTGCTCCAGTATCTTTGCCTAGTAAACCTCAAATGAGGTCATGAAGACTGTGAAATGACTGAATCACAACAACTCTGCCTCTTATAGACACTAATTGTCTTAAATAGCCTACTGATTTGATTAGGTTGCCTCTGGATCACTTTGTTGGTTCTAATCATACTCTTAGTAGGGCACCAAATTATCGTTCAAGTCTCTGATTTGGTGACAAAAGTGATCCCAAGGCATCAGCTACTTGTGGTTGGGTTATTCCATTGTCTCAGTGACTGAATCACACCGATTGAGTCAGCAAACATCTGCTCACAAATGTCTTGTAAACAACAGAGCTGATCGAGAGCTAATACAGACCTGGTCAATATTAGCTGGTGTACTATTCAAGCAGATTTATGAGAGGCCTTTCAGATTGTTTGGGATTATAGAATGAGTTGCACACAGGGATAGAGATTCACAAAGGTATATGTGACAGGAAATGTAAGTTCTACAATGACAAGAAAGTACATCATTTAAATGTTAAGATTCCTTGTCTTCTGAGTGTACAGTAGGTGCATCATGCATGTTTGCTGTTGTTTCAAGAGGCAGTTAGGTGTCATAGTAGGTATAAAGCTAGACATGTAGTCAAGAAGACTTAAGTATGAATTCTCCCTCAGACACTAGCTGTGTAATCTTAGGCAAGTTATTGAACCCTTTTAGCTTCAGTTTTCTCATCCATAAACGGGGGTGATAATAGCACCTATCTCACAGAATTGTTATAAGAATCCAATTTTACAATATACATGTATATATAAGTATGTATGCATATATATACACACATATATGCACACACACAGAACACACACACACATATATATGTACATATACATATATATGTACATATATATATATGTATATAGATATAGATATACAGATTTATGCACATACACACATTGGGTGTCCCAAAATTCTTGGTGCACTTTTAAGCTTTAAGAGCTTAACATATAATAACTTTAATAACATATGCAATACACACATATACATATATATTTACATGTATGTATGTAAATTTGCAACTCCTAAATCATCCTAAATCAATCCTAAAAATCATCATCATCATCAATACATTGCTCAGATAAAACTAATTCAAGGGCTAGATTCCAAAGATAACCACAGCAATTTTCAGAGAAATGAGGGCATTTTTTAACTGAAGCCCTGGTAAGGAGACAGCCAACTTGATGTTTGTATTAATATTTTCATATGTAAGTATCTATTCCTAAAATTTTGCTTTCTACCTCATCCAAGTTTTCCCTACTAATGTATTGTATTAAATATTTAAGCAATTTTTTTCTCTTTAACATCATAGCTTTTCTGAACCCAAACATATTATCATAAGAGCTAGGAAATGGCAACAAGGGATAAAGCCAACCTGAGTAGCTTTCCCTTAGCAGCATTCATTCACTGTCTAAGAGGCAGAAAATAAAGGTCAATAGTAAACATTTAGGTAACAAAAGCACTCTTGGCAACACGAAAAACCAGGGTTTGCTAATAAACTCCAAGACAGCTCTATTGACAGAAACTGTTTAAACATCCATATGGCTTGATAAAACAATAAAGGCCCCCAATAATCTGTTCTGAGATTGGCATTTAAAGGACCTAGTAAATTGAGAAGTCTCTCAAATTAAGTTTAATGGATTTTAAGCCTTACAAAGAATTGGGATTTTTCTATTAGCAATATAGCTTGTGGGATTCTAAGGCAGCCCCTAAATGTATAATATTGGAAAAAAAAAAAGGAGGAGAAACAAAACCAGTGCTGACTTCTTATGTTATATAACAGTTGCCATCTCTTATTTAACAGGGATCTGCATGGAAAAGATTCTTCATGTTTTTAAGGGCAAATGGCTCTAGCTTTGACGTGTTAAAATTTGATAGCTTTGATTCTCAGAAACCAACAACAAACATCATCTTGGGAAATTAATAGCGTGCTTGGCTGATGTTTAGATAAACCTATCTTTTCAGATCCTCAAAGAGGAGTGTGTTCAATTGCAAAGAGAGTTTTGTAATTTGGAATATTTCACGCAAGTGGGTTAACACCTCTGGACCCCAGTGGGCCCAATGGTGCCTAGCTAAACACTCCAATAACTGTTGAGCATGCACACAGGTAAGACAGACAGGATATCTTCCTGGTATGCCATATGAATAGCTCAGCTGTTTTTAAATTAAAATTCTTTTAGAGACAATTAGACTTCTGTCATTTTGTGATATCATTATAATGCATTTCATTTTATGAAAAAAGTAGTCGTTTTAATTCACAAAAGCAAAAATGACCTATACAAGCTGCTTTACAGATTCATAAATTCTAGGCCTCAGACCAAGCATAATCATTTCTGGCCTCCAGAATGAGGTAACTTTGGTTGGGCTACTTGAGGTTCTGAGAACCATGGATCCTCACCTAGCACAGTAACCTTTGAGACAGAGCACTGCTTTCCCCAATGGCTTTGACACTGAAACTCTGACTGTACAAATACAAAATTCCCAGGATTACCATCAAGGTACTGAAGAAGATGCAGCTTATATCTCCACAATGCCACACACTTTGAAAGTGGAAGAAAAAAAAACAGCCAAACAAACACATGCATACATACACATATATTTGCAAATAGCCTGAAATCTGGTGTTGTGTGGATAAACCATCAAATTAATTGCCCGACATTTTTGCTTTTTATCCTACTGCTTTTGTGGGGTGTTTAAACTACCCCTCAGCTCCAAAACAAACAAAATAAAAGATCAGATCTGCTTGACAAAGTATCCCACCTTGTTGAAGTCCATGGAAGGACATACATGTTGGACAATTTCCGAGCAAGACCACATTCATTCATCAAGGACTTCAAGATACAGGAATGTTAGGTAGGAACCCTGTAAGATTAGGATTCTTTTGAAAATAGAGCAGATAAGTGCATGCAGTTCCAAAGAAGGAGCTAACGTACTTACATTTTGCTGCAGGTGAAATGTCGATCTTTAATGTGTAGACTCTGAAAAGCAAAGAGAAAATGAGAATATAGTTTTTAAAAAGTGAATTGTAGTGACTTTGGGATGAAAACAGAGTGGACTGCTTCTGAATGTGTATCTCTTGGCTGAGAAAAGAAAAGCTCATAAATGAGGAAACACTTAAAGTGACCAACTCAGCATGGATGTTCAAAAAGCCAGATTTCTGTAAGAAAAAAAAATCTTCGTGGATTGTAGTGTTCTGGAAAATGATTATCTTGAGAAACAATGATATTACTCTCTACCATACTTATTGAGGTAAGTGAACCACTTTTTAAAATTAAGAAATCAAAAGTTGTTGCCATCATCATATATTCAAGATAGTATGTAAAAGAGGGGGATATTAAGTCAAAATCTACATTTTGTGAATTGAGTTGAACTGGATGACCTCCAAGGTCCCTCCCAACTCTGAAATTCCATGATTTAACAATTATCCAGCTATTTTGCTCAACCAGACAAGATTCACTGACCTCTCTCCCCATACCAATATTCATTATAACTCTCTAAAGTTAGGTGTTCTTAACTGTTTTGTGTGTATATCATGGACCCCTTTGGCAGTATGGTGAGGCTCATGAATCCTTTCTCACAATGACATTTTCAAAGACTTAAAGCAAAATGTGTAGGATTATAAAAGAAACCAAAGGTTAGTGAAAATAGGGAAATACATATACATACATATATACGGGCATATATATACATACATAAACAAACATATATGTATGTATGTATGTGGGTATATCCCCACCCAAGTTTTCAGACTCCTTGAAATCTATCCACAGAACCTTGGTGGGGGATGGACTTCATTGACTATCTGTGAAGAGGTAGACCGACCATATTAAAATGAATAATTTCCTGTATTTAGTAGTAAGATAATTATAGAGTATTAGAATAAAAACCTACAAGGCTCTAAATCTGGACCTTCAATTCTAAGTTTTTCTAGGGGAGATCAAATCCTGGGAAATATCCAATTCATCATACCATTTAAACTCACTTGAGGTTTTTTTTTTCCTGAAAAAAATCAATAATTGAACCTTAGAAAGATTTCTGAATTTAGAGTCAGAGTGCCCAGCTTCACATCCTAAATATGCCACTTACTAACTGTGTGACTTTGGGCAAGTTACAGTTATCCCTTCCACATCACGACTTTCCTCATCATTGTTTCAATATACTGTGAGTCAGCATAAGAAATTAAATGAGAATTTTTTGGGAGTTTTGCAGAAAATGCAGTCGACACATAAAGGCCAGCAGGCAACACAGAAAAGTTTAGAAATTCAGAAATGTATAAAATATGTGTATTGTGCAATATCAACCCAAATTTTATAATAAGGTACTATCAATATCCCATAAAAGATAAAGAAAAAAAATCAGACTTCTTTTCTGGTAGGAAGGGAGGGTCAAAAACTTTTATGCAGATTTTCCAGATTGTAGGGGCACTGTGCCCCTAACCTCCAGGATGTGGATAACTGTACTTAAACTAGAAGGACCAGGTACATTACTGAACACATTATTTTTAGACATTTGAAATTCAAAAGGGCTAAGGTATTTCTAATTCATACTCGATGACTTTTTCTATGTCTTTGTTATCAGTGTTCCTTACTATTCTAAAAACTTTTCAAATAATGAAAGAAATAAAACACATGGTTCTACTCATAAAAACCAGATGCATCAAACGATGCAGTTGCTTAAACACTTTATACTCCTGTTGTAAATAAGAGGAAATCCTCCAACATTTATTTATATTGGGCTGTTTCTTTGACCATATTAGTCTTTCCCCCTCAGAACATCGGTATAATTTGTCAACACTTATAAAACCTTGTGAATAATGTATTTATAGGGTAAAATAAAATTTTAGCTTTGCACATAATTTCCACTACTGTATGAATTTTTTTTCAAATTTTTAGAATTTCGTTTAATGTAGTTTTGCTTACACCCTTACTGACAAAACATCTAAGAGACTCTTTGATGAACAGATTTTAGAATTAATAAGAAATATGCCATCTGATTCATCCAGTGGTGAACTTTCAGATAGTGGATTCAAGGATGTAAATGCTGCAGTTGCAATGTATGAAACATAGAAAGATTATTCCTCATCTGATTCTGGAGATAATGAGTCCACCAGTGAAATTCTTTCCACAGTGGACAATCCAAAAGGTAATAAGCAATCCAGTTCTTATCAGATGCAAGTTCATAACAAAAAAGATGAAGAGCCATAATGTCTGAAAGGTAAAGATGGTTTTTCTTGGCAATGGGCTGTTGCTTCTCAAGTGTGTGAGAATGTTTGAAAGAGCTAAATATTATTATCTGGTCCCACCATATATTCTACCACCCATGTTGTCAAGAGAAATTCTATTTCTTTTCTTTTCCTTTCTTTCCCTCCTTTTTTAAAAAAATTTTGTTTAGTGAGTCAATGCTTAGAAACATTTGAGTATCAGGCAATACTAACTGGTCTGTTACATTAGAAGAATCAGAAAAGATAATTGGTCTTATTGTCTGTCATTCAGGGTGTTGCTATTGTAAGAAACCTACCTACAAAATGTACATGGGATAACTGCTTTGTTCAATAAAACTATGCCACATAATCGAACCCCGTATATGTAATGAGGTATCTTCACTTTAACCTAGATACTAAAAAGAAGCAAAATCTATCTCAGCATAACTTTTTGTCTAGCATTTTCATTGCAGAATCTTTTTTTTATTAAAAATTGTCAGATGACATTTATTCCTGTTGTATACATAATGGGCAATGAGCAATTGCTACCTTGCAAGGCACACTGTAAAATTATTCAATATATATCAAATAAGTCAGACAAATCTGACCTTAAATTTTGGTTGGCAATAAATATTGAAAACAAATACTTGTTTACTTTTACTTGGGAAAGACAATGCTACAGGTAATGATATCACTGTGCCTATAGATGTAGTACTGAAGTTCATGAACCATTAGTCAACCATGGCAACAATGTAACCAATAATAATTATCCCATATCCCTTGATCTTTCCTTGAGATGTGCAAAGCAAAGGTGAAGCATAATTGGACTATTCATCAGAATTGTAGAAAATTTCTGGAAGTAATGAAGACATATAGGTCACTGCATTAAACTCTGCTTTTGAAATCTACAGAGGAGTTTATAATGACCCTGACTTCATACCAGTGTAAGGGATCCAGGTCTGGAATTATAATGAATACTCTCCATACAAATATTCTCATTCCAGCAAAGAACAACCCAAAAGTAAAAGTCAAATTCTATGCTATTTTAAAATAAGAATAAGACAGGAGTAGATGGTCTTGATGAAATGGCAAAGTGTTACTCAGTGAAAGTAACAAATAAGAGGTGGCTCGTGTGTGTTTCATTTTATCTTCTGTTTTTTAAATTCAATTTTATTTTATTTTCAGTTCCCAATTCTCTCCATTCTGCCCATTGAGAAGACAAGGAACACCAAACTCATCACAAAGAGAAAGTTGTACAAAACAAATTTCCATATTAGCCATGTTGGGGAGAGGGGAGGAGAAGACAAGAAAAACAAAGACAGAAAAAAACGTGCTTCAATTTGCACTCTGAGTCCATCAGTTTTCTCTTTGGAGGTGGATAGTACTTTTCATCACGAGTCCTTCAGAATTGTGGTGGGTCATTGTGCTGATCAGAGTTACTGAGTCTTTCACAGTTAATTATCTTTTGTACAATATTGCTGTTACTGTATAAATTGCTCTCCTGATGCTGTTCACTTCACTTTGTATCAGTACATACATGTCTCATTTGCATCAGTTCATATAAGTCTTCCTCTGTATCATTTCTTATAACACAATAGTATTATGTCAAATTCATATATCATAACTTATTTAGCCATTTCCTAGTTGATGGGCATCCCCTCAGTTTCCAATTCTTTTCTACCACAAAAAAGCTGCTATAAATATGTTTTGTATATATGGGTACTTTTCCTTTGATTTCTTTAGGGTATAGACCTAAAAGGGTATGTACAGTTTAATAGCTTTTTGGGCGTAGTTCCAATTTATTCTCTAGAATGGTTGGACTAGTTCATATTTCTATTTTCTCATACTCCCTCCAGCACTTGCCATTTTCCTTTTCTATCATCTTAGTCAACCTGATGTATGTGAGGTGGTACCTCAGAATTGTTACCATGTGCATTTCTTTATTAGTGACTTAGAGCTTTTTATGATTATTGACAGCTTTGATTTCTTCCTTTGAAAGTTCATATACCTTGACTGTTTACCAATTGAAGAATGTCTCTTATTCTTATAAATTTAGCTTAGTTTCCTATATATTTGATAAACAACACCTTTATCAGTGAAACTTGCTGAAAAATTCCCCCATCCTGTTTCTTGCTTTTCTTCTAATTTTAGATGCATTGGTTTTGTTTGTGAAGATTTTTTTCAATTTCATGTAATAAAAAAATTACCCATTTTACCTCTCATAAACTTCTCTGTCTCTTATTTGGTCATAAACTCTTCCCCAATCCATAAATCTGGTGGGTACTCTTTTACTTATAGTTTTCCTAATATAGAACTAGCCCTGGATCTGGTATAATCATAGTATATTATTTTTGTGTTATGTTATTATAATCTCCTTGCTAAAATTTTATTTAAAAGTTTTGCATCAATACCCACTAGAAAATTTGGTTTATAGTTTTCTTTCTTTGTTTTAACTCTCCCATAAAGACCATATCTGGGTCATAGAAAGAATTTGGTAGCAATGCTTCTTTACCTATTCTTTAAAAGTTTATGTAGTACTTGAAGTAATTGTTCTTTAAATGCTTGATAGAATTTACCTGAAAATCCATCTTGTCCTAGGTTGTTTTTTTTTCTTAAAGAGCTCATTTATAGTTTGTTCAATTTCTTTCTCTGACATAGGATTATATAAGTATTCTGTTTCCTGTTCTATTAGTTTGGGCAACTTATGTTTTTGTAGATATTCATTCATTTCATTTAGATTGTTCATTTTATTGCATACTTATGTGTATTTTCTACAAT